CCTTGTGGCAAAGTCGGAGTACTGCAGCTATTTGAACATCTAAGCTGCAATAATAATAAAAGCGGTGTATGTGCAAGCACCGAATTCATCATAAACAACAAAGATGCAGTGTAAGAGATTAATTGTGCAGTGTAGTCAGATTTTTTATTAACGGGAGTTTTTGCAAGATTAAACTGACATTTTTAGTAGCCTAATGTTGAGAGTTCTTTACTCGCTTTCTGTACCCAGTTTATTCCATGTTGTTGTTTTTTTATTATTATTTTATTTTACAAGAGAATTGCGAAGTTTTTTTTTTTTACTACTAATGCGTAAAATAGAAAAAAAATGCATAAATGCATCTCCGACTGTTTTGTCTGTGTACCCTAGGCCAGGGTTCCTCAAATCTTGCCCTGGAGGGCCAATGTGCTGCAGAGTTTAGCTCCAACCCTGATCAAACTCACCTACCTGTGATTTTCTAATGATTCTAAAGACATTGATTAGCATGCTCAGGTGTGTTTGATTATGGTTAGAGCTAAACTCTGCAGGAAAGTGGATCTCGTGGGCCAGATTTGAGGATCCCTGCCCTAGGCTATAAGAATAAGACAGCCAGCCAGCTATGTCGTGCAATAACGGTTTTAATATATGCTATTCAATAACATTGTTAACTGTTTTTATTTATAACATCTGTTGCTTTGCTTCTGTGAAAATGAATAGAGACATCAGCCTTAAACTTTGTTTTTGTCATTTACATCAGTTATATTTGTATAAAATACACTATATATTTTTGTGTCAGTACATTAATGGCACATTTTAGCAGCATCAGTAAACTGTGTAAATATAAAGAAATGCCAAATCACATGCAGGTTTTTTTCAGACCGGAGACCATAATCGTGTAATAATTTACTTTATTATGATATAAAACGTCCAATTTTTCTTTCAATAATGTTTTTTAAAGTTTTTTTTCGTGATACTAAACATTATATTGGCATGTGCTCTTTTATATGGTAATGATATTAATTAGGGGGAGTTTACAAAGTGGAGCTCTGACACCATTCAGCTGCGCACAATTTCAACATTTGCGATTTATAAATGTCACATCTGGAAGTTTTTCCTTCTTCCGTTTAAAAAAAAATCTCAGTCCATATGAGAATGCAAACACATGCTATGAAGCACTGTCAAGAGCATGCCAAACCAACAGGTGGCGATATAATCTCAACCGTAAAGCCATGTTGGCCAATCAGAAGCCTGAAAAAGTTTCCAGTAGGTGGAGATAACAGCGCAGGCTCTGACGTCACAAGCCAAAAACTTTTGAAAATCTTCACCTTGGCAGGCGTTTTCAAAAATGTTCGGTTTCAGTGACCTGGTGCTGCGTTTGCGTGTGGACAAACAGCCTAACCGCATAAAAAGCTGCAGTTTTAAAAATAACCGAGTTTGTGTGGACAGGGCCTGGGAGAGATTTCCTGATTTCTAAGTGAACAAATCAAGAACTCTTCTTACGATTTTGCAGACTTGAGTTTTAGATTTTGGAGTTTCAACATCTACTGACCCCATCACACTGATAGTGTGGACCAGAACAATACTGACCAATTAATTAGATGCAAATAAAACACAATTATGTCACATATTGGAAACCTTAAACTCAACAACGGAGTAGAAATCAATAGTAAAAGATACATACTGTATATGGTTAATTATCTGTTTGAGATCTATCTACAGGTAAAACTCAACTAAATGAATTGTCTCTGTTCTGTTATCTCTTTTCTGTTGTCTCTATATTGAAAATAATTTCACAGGCAGAGATCAGACTCATCGGAGTTCACCTGTGTGTCCATGAAGAGTGATTGGTCTATGGACGGGGCAATAGAATTTAAGGGAAGACACAAATCAACTGATCTGAGGTTCAGCATTTTTCTTTAGACAGTCAGGGAGACCACTGACACACAAATACAGGTACATCTAAAAAAAATTAGAATATCATGAAAAAGGTCAATATTTTTTGTCACTCATTTCAGAAAGTGAAACCCATATATTATATAGATTCATTACACATAGAGTGAAATATTTCAAGCCTTTATTTCTTGAAATTTTGATGATTATGGCTTACAGATAATGAAAACCCAAAATTCAGTGTCTCAGAAAATTAGAATATTACATAAGATCAATAACAAAATGGTATATTAAACAGAAATGTCAGGCTTCTGAAAAGTATGTTCATTTCTATGTACTCAATACTTGGTTGGGCCTCCTTTTGCATTAATTACTGCATCAATGCGGCGTGGCATGGAGGCAATCAGCCTGTGGCACTGCTGAGGTGGTATGGAAGCCCAGGTTGCTTTGATATCGGCTTTCAGCTCATCTGCATTGTTGGGTCTGGTGTCTCTCATCTTCCTCTTGACAATATTCAGGTCTGGTGAGTTTGCTGGCCAGTCAAGCACAGTAACACCATGGTCATTGAACCAGCTTTTGGTACCTTTGGCAGTGTGGGCAGGT